TGGATGGCATCAGGTATACAATGAACATAAACTCGGGCAATCTCCAGGAGGTGATGAGGGACAGGGAGGCCCTGTGTGCTACAGTCCAGGGAGTAGCAAACAGTCGGACGTGACTTGGCAACTCAACAACAACAACAACAATATTCCATTGTAAATATGTAACACATCTTCTTTATCCATTTCTCTCTTGATGGACATTTAGGTTGCTTCCATGTCCTGGCTACTGTAAATAGTGCTGCAATTTTTAAAAAGGCTATCATGGCTTACTCTTGTGGTTCTCAAAGTAAGGGACCCAGACCAGCAGCTTTAACATCACCTGAATACATATGAGAAATGCAGAATCTTGTCCCTCAACTCAGATCTAATGAGAAACTCTGGGAGTGGAGTCCAGTTATCTGCACATAAATGAGCACTCTGGGTGATTATGACATATGATTAAGTTTCCAAACAACCAATCGTAGCAATGTTTTAGGTCTCAGAAGCTGTTCTGGCTCCAAAGAGTGAGTGGCCCCTTTATCTGATTATCTCATACAAATTTATTCCATCTGCAATTATCCATTTCTCCAAATTGGTAACTATCTCAAACTATTTCAGGGCATCCTAGTGGGGGTTCTGTTTTAACCTTACATCCAAATGGTCAGCATTCTTTCTCCTTTCTTGTGCAAAGTTCCAGCAAGATTCCATTATGCTACACACAGCCTCCCTGCATTATGGACAATGTGATCCTCTGAACATTTAAAGGATGCTCAGAGAATCTGTGCAAGGATGCAGGATCCAGGAAACAAAGAGGTGGGGTTATTGAGAGAGAAACATGGCAAGCAGTGACCTCAGCAGCCAAGTGAAGAACACTATGATGGGCAGGAACTGTGGGAAGGACTCAAAAACAGTTCTTTCTCAGTCACTTTCATGCCTAGTAGACTTGTAATGACACCACAAACACCAATAAAAATGGTACAGGACAGCGGTTCTCCAAGTGTGATCCCCAGTCCAGAAGCAGCAGCATCACTTAGGAACTTGTTAAATAGGCTCCATCCCAGATCTACTGAATCAGAAGCTCCAAGGGTAGGGACCTTGCCACCATATAGCGGCTTTGATCACACTCAACTTGGAGAACCTCTGGTGCATTTTACAGAAGCTTGGGCTCTTGAGTAAGACCATCATATATACACTAACATGCACAAAACAGCTAGCTAGTGGGAAGTTACTGTATAGCTCAGGGAGTTCATCTCAGTCTCTGTGATGACCTAGAGGGGTGGGATGGGATGGGAAGGGTGGGAGGGAGGCTCAAGAGGGAGGGGGAAACTAACATAACATTGTACAGCAATTATAATTCAATTTTAAAAATCATCAATTTCAAATCCTTTAGGTAGGTAGTGTTAGTTGCTCAGTCATGTCTGAGTCTTTATGATCCCATGGACTGCGGCCCATCAGTCTCCTCCGTCCATGGAATTTTCCAGGCAAGAATATTGGAGTGGGTTAACATTCCTTTCTCCGGGGGATCTTCCCGCCCCAGGGATCAAACGTGGGTCTCCCACATTGCAGGCAGATTCTTTACTATCTGAGCCACCAAATCCTTTAAAAATATTGAAATCAGAAAGTCTGCATAGGCTGCTATGCCAGTCTTGGGCTATAGTAAGCATTCAATACAAATTTCCTCCCCCCTGCCTCTTCCATCTCTTCCTTCATTTTCTTCTTCTTCCTCTTCTTCTGCATTTTCAGTGTTATCACCATCAGCTGCAGTGGCAGCAGTATAATATGCAATAGTGGCCAAAATGACATCCCCAGATCCAAGGTTTCCACGTTGGCCATCCTGCAGTTCCCGTGCCTTCTCTGGCAGGAGAGGGGAGAGGATAGATGTGAAGCCCCAACTCTAGCACAGCTGCAAAAGCATCTGTGCTCAGAGCCCACAGTCCAGGTGCTGGGAGGTTCTGCAGGCAAGAGAAACCTGGCCACCAAGTGCAGAGTCTGCCTCCCTCACATTCTGCTTCCAGTCCCAACAGTAATTGAAGGCTGGGAGCTCGTTGTAAATTTGCTTAATTGGGCAGTTGAGGTCTTTATCGACCTGCTGAGGAACTGCTTCTAGAAGCCTGCTCCTAGGCTCACAGCCGCTTTTATGCCTGGGCTTCACTTCGCATCTTCTCCACCCTCTCCGTGTCAAAGACCTGTACCTCTGGGATCAACATCTTCTCTCTTTTCTGCTCTTTTGCTATTTAAAAAAGAAAAACAAAGATATGAGAAACAGTCAAAAATACAGAGGGAAGGGGCAGAGCTGCTGGCTGCAGCACCCGAGCCGGAGTAGGGGGCTGTGAGAGATGAGCAAAGCAGGGGGCAGTTTCACAAGCGCTGGGAGAAATTCGGGATTTGAGGAACACAAAGTATGGTGCAACTTGGAAAAATTCAGAGCATTTCCTCATCCAGAGGGACAGAATGGAAAAGGTAGCTATTTCATGACCGAGAAGCTCTGAAAACTGTAATGATGGAGAGAAACCCAGAGGTGATAGCAGACAGAAAATCAGATATTGGCTTGCAGCACAATATTATGTTATTGTTTAGAGGGGAGAAAGCTTTTAAAAAATGGTTAGAGTCTAAGGATACCATGGTTGGAAAACGGCACTCTGGTTGACTGCTTCATTACCCTAGATGTACTCAGGTGGAGAGAAATTGGAAGGAGTCCAGAGAGAAGCAATGAGACCAATGAAAGGAGTGCAGAGACTAATATGAAGACATTAAGCATTGTTTAGGCTTCCCTGGAAGCTTAGCTGGTAAAGAATCTGCCTGCAACACAGGAGACTCCGCTTTGATTCCTGGGTTGGGAAGATCCGCTGGAGAAGGGAACAGCTACCCAATCCAGTATTCATGGGGTTCCCTGGTGGCTCAGCTGGTAAAGAATCTGCCTGCAATGCGGGAGGCCTGGGTTTGATCCCTGAGTTGGGAAGGGAACAGCTACCCACTCCAGTATTCTGGCCTAGAGCAATTCCATGGACCGTATAGTCCATGGGGTTGCAAAGAATTTGACACCACTGAGTGATTTTTATTTTCACTTTTCAAGCATTGTTTAGTCGCTAAGTTGTGTCAGACTCTTTTTTGACACCATGGACTGTGGCCTGCCGGACTCCTCTGCCCATGAAATTTCCCAGGCAAAATACTGGATCAGGTTGCCATTTCCTTCTCCAGGGAATCGTCCAGATACAGGGATCGAACCCCATTTCTCCTGCATTGGCAGACAGACTCTTTACCACTGAGTCACCAGGGAAGTCCAAATAAGAAGACGGAAAGGAACATAATGTGTGTGAAACACGGCTGCTTTGGCCTCAACAGAGGGTGGGTGAACAGACGATGGGTGCTTGGGAGGCCCTCACATAATCCATGGAGGACACATAGGCAGCCTTGCATGATGGTGCCTGCGTGTGTGTTAGCCACTCAGTCCAGTTCGACTCTTTGCGACCCATGGACTGCAGGCCACCAGTGTCCTCTGTCCATGGGATTCTCCAGGCAAGAATATTGGAGTGGGTTGACAGTCCCTTCTCAAGAGGTTCTTCTCGACCTAGGGATCAAACCCAGGTCTCCTGCATTGCAGGCAGATTCTTTACCATCTGAGTCACCAGGGAAACCCATGATGGTGCTTACATTAGCCCTAATTGAGTGAAATTAAGGAATGTATTCTTTGGTTGAAATGCAGGAAACCCTCAACACATATTCCACTAGGGCACAGATCAGTGACAGCTTTTGTAGGTGCTACTCCCTTTGCTTGGGATGTTCTTCCTCTTAAACTTGGCATGAGCGGCTCCCTCAATAACTCAAGTCTCAGCTTAGGTGTCACCGACTCAAAGACCTGACCTCTCCAAGAGAAGACCTTCTCTCTGCCCACGCAGGAGTCACTGTGGACCTCTGCCCTTCCTCTATTGATCCCACAGAGCAATATGAAATTATCTTCCAGACTGAATTATTTGCTTCCTTATGTCTGACTCTTTGCTCGAACATTTGCCCCCAAAGGTCAGGGATCTTGTCTATCACATCCACCGTGAGGTCCCAATAACTAATCACTATTCCAATAAACACTCGCGCTCATAAAGCAGTGAAGTCATGGCAAATACCCTGCTAAAAGAGATGTGTCTATGTTAACTTATCCAGGCCATGTAGAAAATCTAGATTTTATCACTTTCATTTTTTTTTTAAAGAGGAAGAAGGCTGAAACCCAGAGAGATTGAGTCACTGCACAGCAATAGGCGCGAGATGTGAGATCTAAAGCCAGGTTCTCTAGCTTTAAAATCAGCACTAATGCATGCATGTGGAGTCTAGAAAAATGGTACAGATGAACCTATTTGCAGGGCAGGAATAGAGATGGAGATGCAGAGAACAGATGTGCATGGGATGGGGATGAATCGGGAGATTAGGATTGAAGTATGTGCTCTGCCGTGTGTAGATTGCTGGAGAGGATCTGCTGAATAGCACAGGGAGCTGGGTCGGTGCTCTGTAATAACCTAGATGAATGGAATGTGGGGATGAGAGGGAGGCTCAGGAGGAAGGGGACATATGCACACACGTGGCTGATTCACTTCGTCGTGCAGCAGAAACTAACACTGTAAAGCAACTGTACCCCAATAACAAAACAGCAATGCTCTGGATCCCGGCACGCAGTGTGGACCCCCTGTGCGTGCATGCTCAGTCACTTATGTCGTGTCCAATTCTGTGCGAGCCCATGGACTGTAGCCTGTTGGGCTCCTCTGTCCATGGGATTCTCCAGGCAAGAATACTGAAATGGGTTGCCACACCCTCTGCCAGGGGATCTTCCCAACCCAGGTGTACCCAGTGAATATGTATTAAATAAGTGAGTCAATCAATACACGAGTGAGTGAAGGAATGAGGATTTGAGTCCAGAATATCTGCCCAGAGCAAGAAGCAAGAAACATACTGAGATTTCCCAGCTCTGTGAAGGGTGAGTCCTAAATGACATCTTTCAGATGCCATCCAACTACAGAGGCAGTCCCCGTGCAGATTACCTGTATGGTGCTGAAAAGGATCTCCATGCCCTGAGCTGCCAGGAAGGCCTCCCTGCCCGACCGGAGCTTGGCAATACGCTTGAGGCAGAGCAGAAGTGCCCAGCGGATCAGAATGAAGGAATTGGCCATGTCGTGGCTGTGCCAATCCTGATGCAGCCTGAGCAAACTGGGGACGTAGCCTCTGTTCACTGCCCTGCGGCTGTTAGACTCTGAAACCAATGGGAAAACACAACATCAGTCAAAGGCTCTCTTGCGTACACCCCCCTGAGGATGCCCCAGTGCGCGTGCATGCTAAATCCTCTTAGTTATGTCAGACTCTTTGCAACCCCATGGCCTGTAGCTCACCAGGCTCCTCTGTCCATGGGATTCTCCAGGCAAGAATACTGTCTTAAGTTGCCATGTCCTCCTCTAAGAGATTGTCCCCTCCCAGAAAATACTAATTAACCATAAAAGGATGACACTAATTTTCCAATGTATAAACTGGTATCCAGTGGCAGATATCAGCTTAATCAAGTGACCAGGGTCAACAACGTCAGACAAGATGTCCTGAGAAAGACACAGCATCGCTTGAGCTTTACTACTATGGTATTCCTGAACCAAAGTGCATAACCTGAACATAACCACGAGGAAAATCAGCAAACCCAAAGTGGGGGATATGCTATACATATCTGATCTACACTTTTCAAAAATGTCAAAGTAGTAAAAGGCCAAAAAAAAAAAAAAGATCAAGGAATCCAGCTAACAAAGACCAAAAAGGCATGACACAGGGATATATGTATACATGTAGCAGAATAAAACTCAATATTCAGAAAACTAAGATCATGGCATCCAGTCCCATCACTTCATGGCAAATAGATGGGGAAACAATGGAAACAGTGATAGACTTTATTTTCTTGGGCTCCAAAATCACTGCAGATAGTGACTGCCACCATAAAATTAAAAGACGCTTCCTCCTTGGAAGGAAAGCTATGATCAACAGAGACAGCATATTTAAAAGCAGAGATATTACTTTGCCAACAAAGGCCCATCTACTCAAAGCTATGATTTTTCCAGTATTCATGTATGGATGTGAGAATTGGATCATAAAGAAGGTTGACTGTTGAAGAATTGATGCTTTTGAACTGTGGTGTTGGAGAAGAGTCTTGAGAGTCCCTTGGACTGTAAGGAGATCAAACCAGTCAATCCTAAAGGAAATCAACCCTGAATATACATTGGAAGGACTTAAGCTGAAGCTTAATCTTTAATAGTTTCACCACCTGATGCAAAGAGCCAACTCATTGGAAAAGACCCTGATGCTAGTGGAGGACTGAAGACGGAAGAAGGGGACGAGAGAGGATGAGATGGTTGGATGGCATCACTGACTCAATGGACATGAGTTTGAGCAAGCTCTGGGAGATGGTGATGGACAGGGAGGCCTGGTGTGCTACTGTCCATGGGTTTGCAAAGAGTCGGATGTGACTGAGCAACTGAACAACAATAGCAGATTCATATTACTGAACAGCAGAAACTAACACAATATAACACAATAGCAAAGCAACTATACTTCAATAATTTTTTAAAGATATGGCATGTAAGTACAATATATAATTATAATTTAGTCCCTGGACCAAAAATAATTTTTTTTTCTTTTCCTACATAAGGCATTAGTGAAGCAGTTGGTAAAATCTGAATAAAGTGTTTAGATTAACCCAGTGTTGCTTTCCTGCTGGCTCCATGGTTAAGAATCTGCCTGCAACGCAGGAGACCTGGGTTCAATTCTGGGTCAGAAAGATGCCCTGGAGAAAGGAATGGCTACCCACTCCAGTATTCCTTCCTGGAGAATCTCATGGACAGACAGCCTGTTGGGAGTCCATGAGGTCACAAAGACTGAGCCACTAGCACACTTCCTTACACACTGTTTCTTCTCAGGTGGTTCAGAGGTAAAGAACTCACCTGCAGTGCAGGAGACCTGGGTTTGATCCCTGGTCGGCAAGATCCCCTGGGGAAGGATCCCTGGGGAAGGAGAAAGCAACCCATTCCAATATTCTTGATGGGAAAATCCCATGGACAGAGGAGCTTGGTTGGCTATAGTCCATGGGATTGCAAAGAGTGGGGCACAGCTGAGTGACTGAGCATGCACCCACATATCAGTTCAGTTCAGTTCAGTCACTCAGTCGTGAACGACTCAGATATTATGTAAATGTGTATCATTGGATTTTGATAAGCTATGCTTAGGTAAGTGAATATTCTTGCTTTAAGGAAATCCACAATTGTGCATGTCTATAACTTATTCTCAAATAGTTCAGAAAAAGGATAATTGAGGGTGGAGGAGAGAGAAGAAAGGAGAAAGAGACTCACCAGTTTTCCATTCCTTTTTCTTCAGTCTCAGTGGACTTGGGATATGGTTATTTGAGCAAACTATAAGGCTTAATCCAAATGAAAAGGAAAGGACCCTGAGTGAGAGACATAATGTCGGGAAGGCTGTCGTGTGTAACAGATGTGTGTTTTCCCGAAAGAGACTGGAAGCCAGTTTATATATCATCAAGGGGTTGGCTCCATCTGGGAAAGCAATTTCTTAGAGTCAAGCCACCCAACAAGAGACTGGACTCATATGGTGATGAGCAACCTGGCACCAAAAATACCCAGACAGAGGCTAGAAGTCGACCCAGCAGGGATGTGAGGATGGGGCTTCCTTACATCCTTCAGGGAGCTGTAATAGTATGAATCTTACAGTGCCTTTCCCCTCTTCCACACCACAACTACAGTTTCTTTAATTTTTTACATTGGAGTATAGAAAATTACCAGTGTTATGACAGTTTTAGGTACATAGCAAAAGGACTCCTCCATACATACACATGTATCCATTCTCCCCCGAACTCCCCTCCCATCCAGGCTGCCACATAACATGAGCAGATTTCTGTGTGCTGTACAGTATCGCTGTATAGTGGAGTTATTCAACGTACACACTTGAAGCTATGTTTAAAATATAGCAAGTGTGTACATGTTGTTAGTTGAATGACTCTACCTGAGACCTCCCATAAGACCACCCTGATGTCTGATTTCTTCATTTTCCCAAGATATGGTCTTTTATTTATTTTTTAAATATTATTTATTTATTTGGCTTCCCAGGTGGCACTAGTGGTAAAGAACCTGTCTGCCAATGCAGGAGATGGAAGAGACACAGGTTTGATCCCTGGGTTGGGAAGATCCCCTGGAGAAGGGTGTGGAAACCCACTTCAATACTCTTGCCTGGAGAATTCCATGGACAGAGGAGCCTGGCGGGCTATAGTTCATTGGATTGCAAAGAGTAGGATCGGAGAAGGCAATGGCAACCCACTCCAGTACTCTTGCCTGGAAAATCCCATGGATGGAGGCGCCTGGTAGGCTGCAGTCCATGGGGTCACGAAGAGTTGGACACGACTGAATTGCCTTAGCAGCAGCAGCAGCAAAGAGTAGGATACAACTGAAGTGACTTAGCATTTATTTATTTGGCAAAGTAACGTCTTAGTAGTGGCACTTCAGATTAATTGTTGCAGCAGACTCAGTAGTTGAGGCTTAGTTACCCTACAGCGTGTGGGATCTTAGTTCCTCAAGCAGGGATCGAACCCATGTCCCACGCATTGCAAGGCAGGTTCTTAATCACTGAATCACCAGGGAAGTCTCCTCAAGATACAGCTTAAATTCTCTTTGAAGAAACAAAGGGGGGAGAATGGTCTAAGATACTTCTCTCAACAGCACACATACTCCAGTTTTCATGTTAAACTCCTCACCCTACAGGGTTGGCAGACAACCAACTACTTGTGGATTAGTTCAGACCTACTTAGAGGATGGGTAGATCCTCTCTGGATTGCGGTTCTCTCTGCCCTTGTCAACTAGGTGCCCTGTAGAACTCTAACCAGCTGACTCTCAGGCACAAGGGCCCATATCTTTTATCTTGCAGCTCTGCGCTCTCAAGACTACATGTCTGCATTATCCGTACTGTTTACACTGGTTTATAGACAATCTATGCTTCTGGCCGAGTGTGAGAGGGAAAGATCCCTTGGGCTGTAATTGGAAAAGCAAAGTTTCAGCCCCGAGTCAGATTTTTCCCTAAGACCATGTAAATGCCCATGAGTAAAAAAGAAAATGACATAGAAATTGTGTTTTATTCCAGAAGGGTTTTCTCATAATGTTAATAGAATTCTCCTTTTATCCAGCTTGTTTGTCAAATTCTAAACTGTCAGGCTTGACTGAGCCCCACTGAGATTATTTGACCCATTTGTGCAGTTTTTTGTTTTGTTTTTTTTTTTTTTCCACTTTTCACAACATTTCATTTAGCCATGACCCTGAACTGAGAGCGATGAGCTTTACTCACTCTGTGATGTATTTGTGGTGGACAGTTTAAATCACCTTCATTACCTCTTTTAATGAATTATTCTTTTGTATCAAAAGTATTTCTCTTCTCGGCTGATCATGGCCACAAAGCACTAGAGTTCTTTACTGCCTAAATGAGGTTCCAGCCTAGCCAATATCTGCTGTTTAAAAGAAAATTGAGGATTAAGTAGGAGGCATTAAAGCAAAGTATCGCCTGCTAAGAAGATGACAGAATGGCAAAAAACAGTGCACAGAGGCCCCGTGGCAGTGGGAGGTTAAGGATTTCTGTCTCATCTGTTTTAAAGGTATGAGACGAACAATGTGTTATCCTCATGACCTTCATCTCTGGCTTTGTGGGGAGGGGGAGGGAGATATGGGGGGAAAAAATCTTTAATTATCTGCTAGAAAAACCCCTTATCAAATCCCCATGATTTTATTCATGGTTTCCTGCTAATCTTCAGCAAGCTGTCATGTTTACTAACATCGAAAACAGCTACACCTCTCCTCCACCCCCAACCCTAAATCAGTCAGTCTTTCTCTGGGGATGGCTTGGGAGCTTTGCAAAAGTCAATATGCATCTAAAACCTGGCCAAGAGGAGAGTCATCAAGCTGAACCAATGCAGAGAGGACCCAAAGAATGAAATGAAGGTGGCTGGAATCAGCAGTTTCCAGGAGTTCCAGAAGGTTTAGGGGGAAGACAGTGCTTCTCCTGGGGAGGCCAGATAGCAAGGAGAAGATGTGGGCTTTCATACGCTGTTTTGGGCGAGCTCAGGGTTTAGGGGCGGGCAGGTGAGGATCCTCCAACCCCCTTTAAAACTGACAAGCTGCACTTTAGCCTGTTTATATAAATGGCTTCCTCCTAAGATTTTCTTGGGAA